TCAGTAGTCTTCCAGATTCGGCAGCAGCACTCTGGAGGAGCGCTGCAGGAGTAGTTGTAGCGTTAGCAGTAGTCTTCAGCGCTGGGCGCTAGTAGCGTTAGTTGTAGTCTTCAGCGCTGGGCGCCATAGCTAGAGTAGTACTAGAGAGAGAGAGGGATTGGGCGGAGGCCAGGGATACTTACCTGCAGCGCCGTTGCTCCAGCTTTGTCTTCGGGGTACCTGCAGCACAGCGCCATCTTCACAGGTTAGTACCTGACACATGAGAGAGAGAGTTGTTCTTCTTCCTCTTCTCAGTCCACCATCTCCTTCTYCCCCTCTCGCTATCTGACTTCACTGCATCAGCAGACTACGAGGGAGAGAGAGAGAGCTTGGTGACATTTGGATCCAGACTCGACATTGGACTTCAGACATATTGAAGAGGGATTATTTGGGACTTGTAACGAGACTTGGTGTTGACGACTTTCCCATCTCCCCCTTCCTCTTCTTTGTCTGATCCTCTCCTCTTCGTCTGTGTATGTCTGGACCTGGCGCCTCTTCCTGTGTATAGCGCCAGGCCCCAGCACACCTTATGATGAGCATGATGTATGTTTGGTCAGCGTTGAAACATTGAGTGGGCTACTCCTTATCTAGCATTCTGCTTCGCTATCTTATACTACGTGAAAGAGGTCAGTCCCGATCAGGTCAGGACTTGTATCTAAAGTCTTCCCTGCGCTTTAAAGCACCATTTTGTATGTACCTGGAAGAGGTTCCACTTGCACTGCATTGTCCATTCAGTCCTTTTTATCACTTTGCGGATCCTCGGTTTATATGTACATCGCCCAACTGGGCATGTAACATTCTCATTGGCTGAGTGGCCAGCCTCCACGTCTGGCCCTAGAAGGCTCTCGGAAGATTCCGGTGCTGGCGAGCAGGGTGTAGATAGCAAACTGGTGCATGGAAACACTCTGGCGCCCAAGATGCAGAAATGACAAAAGTAGGGCCCCATCTCCAAAAACAGGCCCGCATTCACTTATGGCGGGCTCACTGCTTGCTGGGGGCCCCTCTGGCACTTGGTGGCTGTGGCCACGTGGCCAATGTGAGGGCTCTTTCCTCACAGAAGTACCTCTATTTATGTTTTTTTTATTTGCACTTTTTTTTCTTTCTTTTTTATTTTATATATATTTTTTCAATTTCGACCATTTCTTGAAGTTTTCCTGTCATACTTGTGCATGTGCATGCCAATCTTCGCTGTATCGTTCCTATTACAATTTGAGGGGTGGTTGACTCGTTAGAACTTTTGACCTGAGGGAAGCCAATGCACTTGGCCCACCCCAATCCTGCTTGTGGCCGTGGGAATGTGATTGTTTTTTTTTTTTTCCCTAACAGATGCAAGGAACCCGTCTGTTCATCACTTGCTGGAGTGCATCAGATCACATGCATATACACTGATTTCACAGATTGCGAAGTCTCACACAAAACCCAATAGAAGGTGAATGAGAACCAGGAAACTCAACTCAATTATCAAACCCAGAGTTAGAGAGAGAACATCGTGAGTTCGAAGTGTATGGTGCTGAACAGAGTTACAAGTCTTCTTCAATCAACATGAGTTCCAAGCCTGGCGCTCATCAGCGTCAGCTGCCAAACGTCAACAACAGCGCTCAACAGGTAAGTGTCACCATAGCTCACACTTCCCCATCTCTCGTCTGCCTTCTTCTCTCTCTCTTCCTCTATGTCTATAGTCCTGGTCTACCGTCACTCATCATGCATGTATACTCCCTATCACACGAGGAGCTACTCTGAATACTACCCACTGGTATCTCCTACTGACTATCCCTACTAATATACTAACTAGCACTGGCACAACTATGGCTGCCTTCCCTGTAGCCAGCACTCTCTTCCTTCCCACATAGCCTTGCTCTTCAGCCTAGCGTAGCTCACACACATCCAGCGCACAAGTGCCACGACACTTCCACACTCTCATGCGAAGTGAGCATCTGTCCAAATGGGAGGCTGGCCAGTCCTTTATAGTGCTGGACTGGTCTGGCGAGGCCTGCATTCAGCCTCAAATGTGCCTGGGACTCCTGCCCAGATTGTTGCAAAGTGTGTGTCCCAATATCTTTTCCCATGGTCTGCTGCTGCTTTGGGCCATCGGGCCTGTCTTTTGGATTCCTGGTCTGAATCAGGACTGACTCGTGGGATTATGACTGGACTGGGACTGTAGCCTTTGACTCATTGCCGAACAGACGTGTCTTTCATCGAGGAGACATGGCCCTAACTCAGTCTTGAAAATTGTGTCCAATACCTGTTCGTTCAGGACCTGTGACCTTTCAAGATGACTTTCCACTTCATTATGGANCCTAACTCAGTCTTGAAAATTGTGTCCAATACCTGTTCGTTCAGGACCTGTGACCTTTCAAGATGACTTTCCACTTCATTATGGATGTGACTTTTACCTCAGGAACTTCGTCTTTTGCGTTGCTGCTCGTGAAGTTAAGTTCTGGCCGACAGGGCCTTTTGCTATTGGAGCATCCATTTGGGGTCTGATTCGTAAAGGCCCTTTTACTCTTGCCGGTCTAATTTTGAAGTCCTCGAAGAAAGTTCTTACCCATCCACAATATTAATTCCTCTTCTCGCTCTTTCATAAGCAGAGACAATGTGCGGTGCTGATTCAATTAGCTCCTGCCTACTAAACCAGCGGTCTTCAGTTGGATCTTGATAGGCAAATCTGACTTTATATTGCGATGAGGACTACCTCTGCGTCCTATCTGAATAGTACTTTCAACAACGAGCTTATCAACATCAAATTTTCCATCCATACTCGGAGGAATTGCTGACCTCCAACTGGGAAACAGTTCATTAGTTACACACGGTAAGAGCTTTGACGCATGAAATACCGGATACGTATGTAGGTGTAGAGGAATCTCAATAACGTAGGATGGTCCGTCCATGTCTCCTATCACATCCAATACTTGCCATGGTCCTCTGTCGGCGGGTAACAACTTTTGAGAGATGTTCTCTTCCGGGATAAACTCTTTAGATTTAACCCATACCAGATCGCCTACAGTAAACTGAGAAGGTCTTCTATGTTTATTTGCCTGTKCAATCATCTGATGTTGAGCTTTGACTATGTTCTCTTTTACTTTTTCTAGATCCCTTTGGTATTGCATTGTGAATTCTCGYGTTCCCAACGGAAGTTTGTGTACTTTATCCGGATTCAAACAATCTAGAGGTCTGCGGGGACGCCATCCCAGATGCAACTCCATTGGAGTTCTGCAAGTAGATAAGTGTACAGAGTTATTATAGGCACTAGCAACTTTGGGCAAATGCTCATCCCAGTCAATCTGGTCAGAACGAATGTACATACGCAGTGTCTGCTGCAAAATCTTGTTCATTTGCGCAGTTTGCCCATTCGTCTTAGGATGCCGCCCTGACGACATTGTCAATTTAGAGCCATAAACATTCATCAGTTACTGCCATTGTTCACTTGTGAACCGCGAGTCTCTGTCACTAACTATAGTCAAGGGATGTCCATAATCTTTCACCCAGTGATTATAGAATTCCCGAATTACCAAGTCAGTTCTAGCTTCCGAAGGTAATGCCACAAAGACAACAAATTTACTAAATTTGTCAACAATCACCATAACTTGGGTTTCCCGTTCCTGCTTTTCATCTTTGTGTCCATAAAATCGATGGACACAGAGTCTCTAGGACCTGTTGGAATAGGCAAAGGCTTAAGGAGACCAAGGGGAGGTTGTGTGGTGCTCTTGTTCCGTTGGCACACTTGACAGCCTTGCACATATGCGATGCAGTCGGACTTCATTCGAGGTCGGGTGTAAGAACACAAGAGGTTGGCACAAGTTTTCCTCCACCCGAAATGGCCTTCCGTATCATGGCACTCCCCCAAGATCACACTTTTAATCTCTTCCACGTCTGGAATACAAAGCCTATCATGCACGTTTGTTCTTTCAAACAACAGTCCTTGGGTTATTCGATAGTTAGGAAACTCTTGTGGCGCTTCTTGAACACGTTTTAGCATAGCGCCATAAACAGGATCAGTGGAATAAGCATCCCTAATCTTATCTTGTAAATCGGTGCCTACATCTAAATATGTTCCAATAGCACCGAAGAAATCAGATCTTCGACTCAATGCGTCAGCAACAACGTTATACTTGCCCTTTACTGGCTTTAGTTCAAAGTCATACTGATCGATCTCCGCAGCCCAACTAGTTAGTTTAGGTGTCATCTGGGCCCGTGTTAGCCAGCGAAGTATCTCATGATCTGAGTACACTTTGAAGTGGCAATCTAGGAGATAATGACGCCAATGATCCAAAGCTTCCTGAAGTGCGTATAGCTCTCTTTCATGCGTGGAAGTTGCGACCTTCTCACTAGGCAGTCGTCGGGACAAACTCAACAGGCCTGTATCCATTTTCGTCATCTTGCTGGAGTACAGCGCCTATCCCGTACTGACTGGCGTCGATAGTAACAACAAAGGGCAAAGAAGGATCTGCAACCTTCAAAACCGGATAGTTAATCAAACATTTCTTAAGATGCTTAAACGAAGATGTACAGTCTTGGTCCCACTTCCAGATCGTTTCCTGCTTCAAGAGTCTGCGAAGGGGAGCAACAATTATCGTAAAGTGTTTTACAAATTTTCGATAGTAGTTAGCCAATCCAAGGAACGATCGTAGTTCCGTCAATGTACGTGGATTGGGCCAATCTCGAATAGCTGCAATTTTTTCATCTTCCGGTTTGATATTGTCTCCGTCTATAACGTGCCCCAAATACAACACCTGGCACTTGACCCACTCACACTTCTTCGGGTTCAGTTTCAGATTTGCCTCACGCAACTTATTTAACACAAGTCGAAGGTGCTCACAATGCTCACTCAGACTTTTACCAAAAATCAAGATATCATCTAGATATATAACAACGAATTTATCAAGCCATTTACGAAAAAGTTCATTCATCGTCCGCTGGAAAGTTGCAGGTGCATTAGTAAGACCAAAGGGCAACTCAATGAACTCATAGTGGCTATACCTTGTACGAAAGGTAGTCTTATATTGGTCTCCTGGCTCTACCTCAATCTGGTGGCAGCCAGACTTCTGGTCAATTTTCGTATAGTACTTGCTCCCTTGAGCTCAATCCAGCAAATCATTGATTCTGGGTAATGGCTCAACATTTTTAACTGTTATATCGTTCAACCTTCTATAGTCAATACACATGCGGACCCCGCCATCTTTCTTTGGCACAAATACCACTGGCGCA